TTTACGTCCCATTACCACACGGTTTTCCACTAAGAATGGGGTTTATACTACAAACTTCCACCATTCTGGCCAAATGCTTGCGGGTTAGGGCCTTTATACGTTTTCCAAGCGTCGTGAATAGTGTTGGCTGACTGACATATATAAAAAACTCGAGCCCGAGAGTGTATTTATAAATTCGACTCAATTTCGCACGACTCGATGGACTAAAATACTCACGAGTCCGAGTCAAGTCGAGCGCGAGTCATTAGGGCACGGAATAGAGCTTAAAAAGAAATCGAGTCGTAAACTCAACTCGAGTTTTGAACAAAACTCGAGTACGAAAACTCGAAGCGATTTGTACTCTACAAAGTAACGAGTACGACAAGCAAGGTTCAATTTTACACAATTACTATTGTCCAAAATTAAATAAAGAACAGAAACCCAAAACGAAGATATTATTCACTTACTCTACGGCTATAACACTACAGTTTCACACATCATCCCACAACACCGCACACCATACTCCAGCTCCAATCGTTACATAAACAGACTCGAGCGCGACTCGCTACATAAATGACTCGAGCACTAATGTCAAACTCGAGTCTATTCAAAAACTCGATAGGCTCGTAATACATCGAGCAGTGGAATCTCTGTCTTTATGAGTCGAGTCTTATGAATTGGAGTCGAGTCCTAATATACGCAGGCTCTCGAACTCGAGTTTTTTACAACACTAGACGTGAACCGTCTTCGATGTGCAGGTTACATCGGGATGTTTTCTTTCGCCATTAGCGAGAGTAGAGAGACTACTCAACATTCTAACGTAAATTATAAAAGTCATAGGTACCTACATACCCTACAAACGTTAACTATCTACACTATACTCTAAATACACAATGGAAACTATGGTGCACTAAATGCAACACTAAAATCAATATTGTAAGAACGTCGTCAACGATACTATTGCATCGCAATAAAGTTTATTATAAAAGTCAATATTATTTTAGGTAATAAAGACGTAATATGACCTTCATCTTCTTCAACGAAGTTGTCACCCTCATCCACCACATTAGCAGCGATAGTAACAGTGGGATCAAAAATACTTCGCAGCACAGCTTTGTCCCTTTCGCTAAGATTTTCCAATCCTGACATAACTATTACCTACACAAATATTCAATTTATTAAATTTTAAAATAAACACGACTGTTCTGTGTTCAATCTTTACGCGGACTAAACCTGAATGCTTAAAACCAGTTCGGATTGATAATGAATTCCACTTGATCGTGTTGAATCAACATTTTACGTCCTCATAAGTACGGCTATAACATAAAGTTGCTTGTAGTGTCTCGTTTGTTTCTCGCACTAGGGTAGGAAGACCTCCAGGCTGTCTATGTATCAGACAACGGTATACGTATATACATCGTTTTTACTACTGACCTGGCTTTTTTTTAATATAAATTTAGAAATTAATCATTATAATAGGGGCTAAATTGAGGATTTGCCATGCTGTATAGGCGAAATCAAACAAAAAAAGTTACATTGAAAATAATATATATTTTATCAAAATACACACCAAAATTATCGATACACTACGCCCCTATAACTACATTGCGCAAGAATAATAGGGAACGGGAATCCACAAAAATCTGAAACTCATTTTCGAATACTTCATACTTTAGAATGAAATATGTTTTAAATTGCGGGAAAATCTGGTGGTCAGTAGCATTTAGGTCAGTATTATATGCAGTGTTGCGAAGAGCTTCAACATACAAATCCTGGACCTCTAGAAGACGGATATTTGATCGGCAACACGTGTGCTGGTGTTATCAGTGGTGGATTTGCCCTAGCCCGGTAGGTCCGGGCCTAGGGCGGCCAGATTTTAGAGGCGGTCAATCGTGACAAAAATTGACTAATGATAACAAAAAATAACTGAAAGTACCTAAATATTGTAAAGGCTCACGCACATTATGGCGGTCCGCACTGCACCGTTTCGTATAACAATAATCTTCCTAAATCATTTTTTTATGTATAAAATATAGATATGTTACATATGATGATGAATGAAATGTAAAATCACTACATATAATCACTACCGCGTCTGTCTGTCGTCTGATCGCGATAAATTCAAAAACTACTGAACGGATTTTCATGCGGTTTCCACCAATAGACAGAGTGATTCATAAAGAAGGTTTAAGTGTATAATTTATTAAGGTTTTGTGCAAATTGGCTGAAATATGAGGATAAATGTTGAAGATCATGACGGCTGGGCGCTGGATGATTTTTTCATTATAGTTCACTAAATTTCTGAATCGATTTCGATAAAAGTTGGCAATAAAGTAAATTCATTATGGTCTACCAGAATATGATGAGTGCTGAGAAAGGTGCGGCTGGTGCCGACTCCATGGCCCTGGGCTGAGGGCGGCCAAGGCTGCAACTGGGTGTTATCATGTAGAAGTAGGACGATCGGTTGACTAGACGTGGTTATTTTGGGTAAAGCGGACAACTATCATGGTTGTACTAGATCTCAGGAAGTTATAGTGTATCGTAGGTGGATCAACAAACAGTTACCAAAAATGTTTTGTGGGTAAGGTACTTTTATGGACACTGTTTGGGATTGTCGCCAGGATTCAAGCACTTTTTTCGTCGTTTGCGATTATCATAAATAAACCATTTTTCATTATATCAACACACCTCTCTTCTTTCAAACTCTTGTCTCTATAAAGATCATTAAGACAATGCAAGCTTTTCTCTCTCGCGTTGTCCGTTGTACTTTGAATATAATTGTGTGGAACCTACTTGTCTAGGTTTTTTAATTTACCTACCAATTAGGCGGAACTTCGTACCTATTGATTCATTTCATATTATAAGATACTGCCTCCTTGGTGCAAGGAATCAAATTCAACAATAACTTGCGACAGTCGTCCACGAGACTATCTACTGATTCGAGAGATAGGGTTTTCCGGAGACTACGGGCTTGACGGCAAGACCAGGGTACGGCGGGCGTCCGGACCAAGCTCTCCGCCGGTCGTACGCCTTCACGACCGTCTCTGGCGGACCCGGACTTGGGTATGGACTCGCCGGGATTTATTGTTAGCTGCAGGGAACGGACACGTTCGTCTGCACCGGTGGTGTGTGGCCGGGCGTTCGTCTCACGACCACGTGAGTCGTCCTTTAAGTCGGTTGGCTATGTCCGGATATTGTCGCAGAACACTGCCATTTGGCATCTCCGGCACTAGCCCGGAGAGCTAGTAGAGGATTTATCTAGATATCTTCCGGTCCCTCCGGCCGCGTAGGAATTTGGAAACTGTAGAGACGCTGTTCATTCGGCGTCGGGAAGTGAGCGTGACTTACAGCTCCGCCACCAAAGAGATTTGGTAGTCGGCGGCTCAGCGGTGGCAACCGTTAATCGTGCGGAGCGCGGCGAGAAGTGAGCGTGCCTACAGCTCCGGTAAAAATAGGGAGGGTGCTGTACGTGCACTGAGGGTGCTGTACGTGCACTGAGGGTGGTTCACCTAAGGCATTAGCCTTACAGAGAACCGGATGAAGTACGTGCAAACGTGTTAATCCGGGGTTAGGACCTGACTTACGGCCGCTTTCTATATTCAATTTCAGTCCATAATTTGCTGTCTAACCTTGAATAGTCAATCCAAATCCTATTTTTACTATTTCAATAACCGATCGATGGATCGTTATTCCGATCTTTTGTTTCAATCCATCTGTGGGATGGATTGAAACAATGGATGGTATGGCATTTTTAGATTGACATTTGCATGGTAGTGACAGTTGTGCGCTTTCAATATCCAATCCATAGTTTTGACAAATCGGATTTTGCACGTGTTCGATCTATAGTAGCGATCCTCCAATTTTGACCGATTGTACTGTGTAATCGTGTAAAAATGGAAGTTATTTTTAAGTGATAGCGACTGTGAACTTGAACAAAATTTGTTTTACCTGAAATAATGCCGTTTATCAAAGTCAAATCAAAACGGTATTTTTATAATTTAGATTATTTATCACGTCACGAATACGAACAAACATCAACAAAACATAAATTGGCATTAACATTTCGCCGCTGCCGCTGCCCGCCGTCCCTTTATTTTTCTCCATCCTATATGGCCGTCCCGCTCGTTTGACAATAAACGTTCCCGTTCTGGACAATAGACGTTCCGTTCTGTTCCTCGAAACACGTTATTCTTGACGTACTTACGGTTTAAATATTTTATACTTGAAAGTTTGCAATTAATTTATATATATGTATAAATAAATTAATCTTAGAAACATAACCACCATTTGATTCACTAATTTATGCAATGATCATCAGAGAGAGCGAGGAAATTTACGACCGATTCTTTTTTTTTTTAAGGGCGCTAGAGCCGAGATAGACATATTGAAATACAGATTCGACAGCGATCGATGGATCGAATAAAATCCGGATACAAAATAATATTAGATTCAGGATCAAATATAGAAAGCGGCCGTTAGATGGTCCCAGCGCGGGTTCGCTCACACAGGTCATAGTGCCCTTCCCGCATAGCCAAGAGGTTGATAGGGAGGGTCACTATAAACAAAACTTATGTAGAAAGACACGGACGGGACTGTCGTCCACAAGACTCGTTCAAATTAAAATTTCCATTGCGGGATCGCGCACAATAAATTGTTGTATTAGTGCATTATTTATTATAAAAATTTATATTACGTATAAGGATCGGATACAACAGGGATGTTGTATCCGATTGTTATACGTAATCTTTTGACTAGTTTGCGCTCCATTAGTAGGTAGTACCTACGTCGAAACTCGTATTAAAAATTATACGATTTTATGCCGTGTCCGTCTGATTTCAAAGCGAATGTAAAATTAGCCTAAATAAAAACCAATAAACAATGCCAATATTTTGAAAACATAAACATTATAGTTGAATAGTTTCCGATTTGAATATTTCACAGTGGGTTATAAGTTCACAACGGCAATCTAAATACTTACTAAGGAGGACTAACTCCATGCGTAGTCTCTATAAAGTTTTGAATATTGCAGTGTTCAAAATATTGCCATCTTAGCGTACTTACCTATAAGTGCAAACCCTAAACAGCTTAATAGAAAACAAGTTGGTTCATAAACAACCAAATTATCTAGGCGACAATCTTGGAAATTACGCAAATTGTCCTTGACCAATTAATAATCCAGGAATCTATGAGATCTTTATCTGTACGTATGTCAAATATATTGCCAATGTAGGAATTTTTACGTAAGTGGTATCTTCGAATTAATTAAATGGAATATTAAAAGTCGGTACAACCTCAAATAGCTTTGGCTGATTCCACATAACAGTGAACGTATTGTCTCTATGGAAAAAATGTATAACAAAATTGAGAATGTACACCGATTAATACAAGGTGAGACAACACGATTCCTAAAAATTTTCAAGACATAAATAAACACAAACTTACCGAAAATTTACAAGAAAACCGCTGTACCGTACCCAATAGGTATTGGGTACAGCGGAAAAAAAATTTTTCCGCTGTACCCAACGATAATTTTTTTTCCGCTATATAGTTTGGTTGTACCCAATAGGTAATGGGTACAGCGGAAAAAAAAATTGTATATGTGTAGTAAGTACTACCAAATTTTTTTTTATATTAACTGAACTAAACGGAACACCTAAGTATAGTATGCGATATACTTACATTTTTCAAAGGGCTTTTATTCGTTTGTAAAAAAAATAAATTCTGAAATACAGCCAGTGTCCCTGCAGCTTAAACTATCGTCCTCTAAGCCCTGTCGCTCGACCCAAGCAAAACGAACCATATTAATTAGTACGGGTAACATTTGAATTGGATCTAAGGTAATATAAACTTTTTAAGATGTGACACGAACGAATTACAAATAAAAAACTATACATATTTTTAACAATTTTAATAATGTCTTCGGTTAAAATATAAATTTAAAAACTAAAAATACCTATTCCTTACAAATAACAAAGAGAGTACGTTATTGGCTGGTAATATGCGACGTACTTTGCGCGTACGCGAACAACTGCGAATTTAGATTGTAAGAAATTCTGGATTCCTTGTTCCAATAGAATGAAGTTCAATCTATACAATATCAAACTTTACAGCAAGGCACAAGGTAATACGTGAAACAATTTTTCATTTAAATGTACCACGCACGACGTTCGTAGGAAAGCGTTGAGCCATTTTACATGAATTTTTAAGCACACATTTTCAAGCCC